CCTCAACCGTATGCATGAATAGAATCGCAAATGGGGGTGCAAGATTGTTACCCATTGCAACCCCGTCCACTTGGTGATAGATCTGATGGCCAAATCTGAAATAGTTGTGGCTGAGAACAAACAGCAGCAGATTCCGTACCCCTCTCACACTCAGCCCAAACATGTCGATCCGCTGGGAATATTGCTGCAGCATATCCACCACTGCCTGAACGCCCTCCCGAATAGGTATGCTCGGATATAACCCGACTACATCCATGGACATAACAATGGTGCCATCGGGGGCGTTCAATCCCGGACATGCGTCACATATGTGGGTTATTGCTTCCGTCGTGTTAGCCAGGTGGGCCGGGACAAATTGAATGAGCTGCTGTAGGATGCGCTCCAATACAATAGATACTCCAGTCGTTGGGCTGTCGCACGCTGCTACCACGGGTCGCAATGGTAAGTTCTGCTTATGGTCCTTTGGAAGACCGTACCACTCGGGGAACTTCGTACTGCTTGGTAGGATTGACTTTAGGAGTTTTGAATCCATGTTCTTGCACTCTGACAGTATTACTTCTCGTGTCTTGGTCTCGTAGGACTCTATGGTCAAATCTACTTTCTCATACATGGTCATGTTCGATAATATGTCTTCTGCTTTCTGCAAATACAGCTCCTGTCTCATAGCAACGAGTTTTTTTACTTTTATCCGATGGTTTGATGATGGTTTCTTGGTCTGTGCGAAGTCGCTTCAGCTTCACCCGCTCCTCCTGCGTCAGATTGGGCTTAGAGGGTGTGTGTCTGTCGTAAGCTCGTAACACCTCGTCGCGGAAGTTGGCCATGTTCCTTTCGTCTTTGTCGTCCATCTGTGGGGGCTGCTTAAAGCCACGCTTCATCAGCTTCCACAATTTCTTGTCCTGTCTGATCTCTGGCGGTGGGTCCTCCTCTTTGAGGTCCACACCCTGAGGCTGGGGCTGTTGCCACCGGAGGGTGAACGCCATCCTCTCAACCGATGTCTCAACATCTGTTCGTTCTTGCTTGGTGAGCCTCCCCGTCGACGGGACAAAGCTAGGTCCATGTTCCAGCAGACGCCTTGTCTGGTCGGACACACAGTCGCCCACCACCAACGCCCGCTCATTGACTGGCTCAGCACTGGTCGTATGCCCACCGGGTGACGCAACACCAACGGCGGCAACAGGAGCTGGGCCGCGGGGTGAGCTGTTGGTTCCCGCCACACGTTGATCCGCCTCTCGAAGCCCAGAAATCTTCCGATTTAGTCTGGCGTTGGAACTTATTCGTTCTTCGGTAACCACTGCACGTTAAAGAGAACGGATCAATAGGTAGTCCGACTGTGTAAACGTCCACAGTTGCTCTCTAGACTGCTTGTATCGCCTCCCGCGGTAATCTCTCTCTGCGCATTTGTCTTCGATGGCATCGCAGAGAAGACGGCGGCAGTACTGATGTCTCCTGTGTTCTCTGATGGTCTTGTGACCCGTTGATGCTGGCTTCCGCACACAATTCGAAAATATATTAAACTGGTTGTAAAACCTTGTAGGACGCTTCACACGTCTTCATTGCACTTGAATAGCTTGCAGTGGTATAAAACAAGGAAACAAAGCACGGTACCTAGTGAGCGCTGTTTTTTCCATGCTCACTTCATTCCTGATGATGGTCATGGAGACTGAAAAGTTAAAGCGATGCTTCTAATGGATTTGTATGAAATGCAGTGCTCTCTTGAATATATATATAAAGTAAAAAGGAACAAGGAATTATATGTTGCGGTATAATGTCCACTAACACCACCAGTTACTAAACAATCAGCTCATGCGATAACATTGCACGACACTGACCGACGGTACTGACGTTCTACAACTAACTGGCAAATAGCTCTAGCATATCTTGGATGCGCACTCCTTATGCTATTTCTACAACTTAGAACCTTCCAAGTTGAAAAGCTGTTGCCTACACAGAGAGTAGAAAATGCCGCCTCGAGAGTCGACATGCCTGCAAAAGGCACAGGAAAAAACGAAGCAAGTATCAAGAAGTTCCGCAACTACCAAACTACCTGCACGGCAAGTGACTGGCAACACTTCACTGCCCAACGCAACAGTGTAACCACAATTCTCCGTCACAGCAAGTCTGACTTTGTCCATCGCACAGCCGCGGAAGGAACAAACCTCCATCACCTTATCAAGAACAGCAAAACGCCATCCAAGCGGACCTTTCCAAATCTCATCACCCCATCATCACTGTGACTACTGCCTCAGACAAAGCCTCTGTCCTGAATGAGTTTTTCGTTTCCCAGAGCCAGCAATCTCTCAGCAACTGCTCACCAAATACCCCGCCCATGCACACAACGCCTGACATAACCTGCAACCTGACTACCATCACAACATCGACAGAAGAGGTCCAGATGCTTCTACAAGGTCTCAACACACATGAAAGCCCTGGTTCGGACCTCCTACCAACCCGTCTCCTCAAAGACGCAGCACCAGAAACATCAGAATCCCTGGCTGCCCTCCTGAACTTGTCCTTTGCAACAGGAGAAATTCCCCAAGACTGGAACGATGCCACGATCTCCCCCATCCACAAGTCAGGAGACCTGTCCCAGCCAACAAATTACCGGACCATCTCTCTGCTCAGCACAACCTCGAAAATAGAAGAACAAATTTGTTCACTCGCACCTCTACAAACACATCTCAACGCACTTACCTTCTAACCAATCCGGATTCAAGGAGAAACACGGCACGGAGCTGCAACTTACTCGACTGGTGCATGAAATTTCGGAGGCTCGTGACTCTGAGCACGTTCCAGCTTGCTTTTTTTGATCTGAGCAAATCCTTTGACCGAGTATGGCATCAGGGCCTGATCGCCAAACTCAAGCACTACAGTGGCACCAGGAAGCAGTGATGGTTCTCGGTGTACTTGATTGCGCGTAGGCAGCGAGTGAGAGTTGAGGGAACAACATCAGCCCTCATCTCCATCCCGGCCAGAGTGCCTCAGGGCTCAGTCCTGGGACCACTGCTGTTTCTGGTGTACACCATCGACCTGCCTGCCGATTGCGCGAATGCCAGCACCAGGTGAAGCCAGTTTACTGAGGACACAGCCCTTGTCTGCTCCAGGTGGCTCTGTCGCACACTTCGAACAGCAACTGCAGAGCAGCGTGTCAGCCACCGCTGGATGGTTGGAGCGCTGGCACCTTCTAATTAACACTGCAAAAATGGTAGTCCTCACCTTCTACACCGGAAATCGCCCCCTTCGCCATCTCCCATGCATAGAGCTCAACAATGCACATCTCAGAAATGTCCTGCAACATCCCCACCTCGGCATCATCTTTCAGCACGACCTAAGATGGACAGTCCACCTTGACTTTGTGCTGAAGAAAGCCGTACAATCTTTTAATATTCTCTTTCGGCTCAAATCAACTCTACACACAAAATCACTCTCTCTCATTTACAGAACATAATACAGGGGCGTATGAGGGGTTTTGGAAGTGGTACGACCAAAGGTCGGTGCGGCTGAAGGCCGTGTTGAAGGTGGGTCGGGGGGGACCTCCCCCGGGAAAATTTTGTAAAAAAGACACAAAATCCTGCGTTCTGGGAACTTCTGGCACACTTCAGGCGCAGTGTGCAGTCGAGTCGAGTACAGTACTCAGTACGACTGCAGATGCATAACAGATTTACGAGTACGAGTCTAGAAAATGGTCAAAGTCTGATGCGCATACATGTACATATGTATGCATCGATTGATCCTGATTTTTTTTATTACGGTTTTTCGCGTTCCAGACGGACCACATTTTTCGAAAAGTGGTACGGCCATGGTCGTACCAGTCGTAGCGGGTGCTACGCCCCTGATATATCCTGCCTATAATTGACTATGCATGCATTGCTGTCATCCCGCTCTCAATCACAGCCCATGACCATCTTGAGCGAATCTAGTGCAAGGCGGCCAGAATTTGCCTCCGTCTCCCCCTCTAAACTCCCCTGAATCATTCAACACCGCTCCATCTGCTCAAATGGCCGACAATGTTCTCTCGCCGCAAAGTGAAGCTCACCCTTCTTGGACCCTCCATAAATCATTGTACCCCACAACACATACGCATGCTCAACACCCCCGCTCAAGTTACTGCCCAGTATAGCCTTCGAAACACACGCATTTGGCACCTCCCACCCACCAGAACCGATCGCTGTAAAGACTTCCCACTGTACAAGTCCCTAGAATACTTCAATGCCCTCCCTCCTAGCATTCGTGACGTCTCATCCCGACCTTCTTTCAAACAAGAAATCTGCTCACTGCTGATTAACTCAACCTGCTCCTGCAGCGCTCACCCTCTCCTTTACTTGTAAAATTCAAAGTGATGTAAATCACTTTCCAACTGCATAACCCACAGCCCCACCCAAAGCATCTCACCTTCTCATAAACATATCTCTTATTGGTGATGGTGCCATTGTGGGAATAAAGAATTCCAAAAAATCCTGTCGTTTCGAGACTCGCCGACTTTGTGAAGAGATGCGTCGACAGCAAGAGACCGCTGAACAGGCATCCAGTCGGCAGAAGAAAAGAAGTTATCATGCCCGAACTTGTTCGGTGCGCGGTGACTGTGATCAATAGGCATATCGCTGTCACATTATCGTTCAAATTTGTTTGGGTGTGCTGCCGATGGGCCAGAAATATAAGGATCGGGTAGATTTCTGTGTTTGATAGTCGTCTTTGTTGTATAAATTGAATGCTGAGATCAGAGGACTATGAGGAAGAGCAAAACAGCAGGTAGAGTGACAGTATTGAAGGTCGGAGTTGACGGCGTCGGCAGGAGTGCCTACAAAGAGAGCAAAATATGGGAGAAGAGCAGTCCCGCCGCCTCCCAAGTTGCTAAAAAATGATCGGCTACATCATAGTATTGCGAAAACAGTTCCATGAGATCGGGTAACATTCTGGATAAGCTAAGCAAACAAGGATAGCATAGAGCACTGCGCTTTCAAGCTCATTATCTCCATGCCGATTATTTGTCTTTTTTCATCCAGGAATCTTGGTTATAACAATCTGGCAACGCTACGGCCTGGCCTTTTTCAAAGTAACCGAAATCTCTACACTGTGTGAGTATTCTGCGAACAAATAGACTGTGAGCCAGGCACCAAAAATCCTGTTAGAATTATTTTTCGTTCCGACCTCGAGCGTACCGCAATTTTTTTCCCCAGTTCGTTTCATCTACTCGACTAGATACGAATTCAGCTTGTTGTCACTTCCAAATCAGGCACGAACATGCCCAAATAGAAGGGAGAAACTACTTTGGCCAAATCAATAGCCGCCATCGACAAGAACCAAGGTCACAAGAGCTGGAGCGGACTTCTGTTGCACCACTGACCTCGCAAAAATGTACGGTGGTGCAAACCCAGCCGCATCATGACGATGTTTTTTCGTGGTTTCTATAGTATTGTGTGCAGTGCTAGTGCAGCGCAGTGGCAGTACGAACATCATCATGTCCATCATATCAGTGTGCTAGCATGCTTGCTGCTGATCAGTCAAGCTAAACTAAAGGTTTTGTAATCAGTGTTGGAGCAGAAATACATGTAGAACGTACATATACAATGTACCTTATCTCCGGAGAGCTAATAACTGTTTCGATCTTTTATACTGAAGTGCTTCAGACTATGATTAACATGAATATGCATGTATCTTTCCGCTTGTGTTCTGTACATACAATGGGTAATGTTTCAAAATAATTATTATTATAGTTCAAATAAACTACAGATCTGTATCTGCCGGTATACCCCTGTGGTCCTGTAACGTTACTGGTTACGGTCATTGCTCTACCCTTTGCACTTATACATGTAACTTAGGAAGCAATACAGCAGTACTTACGAAGTAACGTTACATTGATTATTATTATTATTATTATTATTATTTATAAAATAATATTATTTTGATAGGGCAATCCCCACAGACTCAAGGTCTTCTTACGGGGTACCCTAAGAATGAAATTGATCAGTTATATGAGTGCAAATATACAAATCCTGTATCCAGCAACTTCTTTAACATTGTTCTGCCATACTGTAAATGTATATATTATAGAGATGTAGAGGGTGAAATGAGCATTGCACCGGATTAAACCAGATTCTCCTGGCTGTTGTTGATGGTCTTTTCCAATCGTTGTCTGGAGAATTCGCTGCTGCTGGGCTTTGTATATTGAATGCCACCTGTTTGTTCTGTACATTATCATTCCTGAAATGCATTTCGTGGTTGTCGGCACCATTTCATGTGCACTTACCTACCAGTGCATCAAAAATTTAATAATTATAATAATAATAATCGTCACTTCGAGTAATATTTAAAATGTTCACGTACTTTATACAATGCACTTATGCGTAATTCTATAATTTTTGGCTCGTATAGTTATTTTAACCCAGCTGCAATGACGCTTGATATACATTTCTTCGTCCAGTGCCGTTGCCGGCTGAAAAAAGTAAGAAACACCTTCAAAATAGCATGTTGCTATGTCAGTTGCTATGTAGTTGCTATGGAAACGGGGTATGTTAAGATAATTGCTTATTTTGACTTCCCTGCAAGCTTCCCAAACTGACAACAATCAAAAATGATCTTCTATTAGGTCTCTCCACATGCTAAAAGAACAAAATCGCGGTACACCCAAAGTGGGAACGAAAATCATGAATTCATGCACTTGGCTCACAGTCTAAAAGGGTTACGTGCATCGTACTGCGCATTGGATCCGGTATTGGCGGACATCGCATCGTTACGGATAGCCGTATGTTGGCTCATATGCCACGATTACGAGCATCAACGGACTTGTCATTGATGCAATCGGTTTCATTCTGTCTCAGAGTGTTCTGTTTTATTTGTTTTGGTTTTAGCATTTGGGTGAATGTATACGTCATCAAACTACTTGGTCCGAATTATTAAAATGTGCGTTTCGCTTCGAACATCAACCAAACAAATTGAAAAATCTCAGGACAGAATAAACTTTCCAGCTGTCTAACACTATCATTCAGTTGTCAATTTGTGATGTTGAAGAAGAAATGGCTCCGACTCCAAAGGAGGCAGCGGCTCAGGATCCTAGTCGACTCGAGCATTTTGCATCCAAATTTTGTCCTCAGAGGACTCCTGTTGCTTCTCACGCAACACAGAGAAGGCCTGGTGCTGAAATCAACACCCTGCTGCGATGGGGGATTGTCACGGAGTACCAGAACCTCCTAGGCGATCGTTCTGGAGTGCCTCCTGGCAGATTGAAATCGCTGCAATCAATGTTTCCTTGGCAGAATTTCAGCAAACTCGTCATCCAGAAACTCGTGCAGAAAGCACCAGCATCACTGCGTCCAGTTTGCTGATCTCTCTCGCAGTCGTTCACGATGTGGCGGCCGACGAATCAAGATCACAGAAGAGATCGTCGAGAAGTTAATGGAAATAAATAACCGGCCTTGAGGTCGATTTTCAGGCGACAGCCTGGCTGGAAAACTGAGGCGCAGGAAGGGTGAATTATCCGGCGGATACGGTGCGGAGTCCTCGGATCCGCGCGCGGAGCCGCGGTCGCGATGCGTCACAAGATCGCCAGTCTCCAGGGCCAGTGGATTTGTGAAACAGGCAGGGAAGAGCACGCATGGTCTGACTGCATGACATGTCGACACAGATCAGACTCAGTACGCGCGCGGTACACGGTGGTCAGAAGTGATTTTTTATGCGCGGTGGTTTACTTGTTCGCCTGATTTGAAGGTACCGTGGGAGCTTCAGGTGAAAACACCTACAGCCACCATTCTGGTAGTCACACTGCACGAGAAGGAGGCGAAGTCGATCGTGGAAACCGTGCCTATGGAGTGAAAAAAATCAAAGAAGCGCAGTGTAGCTTGGAGGAGATGAAAAAAATGTCGACGTTTTGCAGGTTGCCGCACTTGCAGATGCGCCCTGAGACACCAGCAGCGATGAAAACTAGAAGGTCAGGCCAAGAAACGACACAGTAGTTATCTATCTACCGCCTCTTGGTTAATTTTTTGTACAGGTGCTCCTTTGTACAGATGCTTGAGTTTTGAAATGAAGCGCACATTATAATAAGTCGGACCAAGTAATAGTAGTGATGCTTGGGTGGTGTTTGCAGATGCTTGATTCTTTTATTTTATATTCTGATTTAAAAGCCAGGTCGTCGACATAGGGCTTGAAAGTGCTACACCACAGCATAGCAACAATTTCAAAAATTTAAAAACTGGATCCACTTGGATCCAGTTTTTGTATGGATCCAAGCACATTTCAAGCCGTCTTACCCACAGCATGGTGATGTAGCCAGTGAAACTGACTGATTTGGCTACTGGGGGCGGGGTTACAACTGGTGGCGAAATAAAAGTCACACCTGCATGCGACATGAGTGGGTTGCTATGCACCCACATACTTAGGCAATAGCAAAGTCACACCTTAGTGGATCCAAAAATAGAAATCTGATGTCAACTTACTACTCCCTGACGGTTTTGACGTCATCACTTTCAAGCCCTATTCCGATCCGGAGTCTGCGCTGGTTGCACTGCGGTGCAGGCGGAGCAGCTTTATGTTCTCATGCTGCAGGCCGCACACCGTAAGTAGACCTAAGAGCCTGGCCAGCTGCAGGGCAGCGAGTGCCGCGTGATTCTGTGTTCCAGCCGCGAACTCCACTTCGTCACTGTGTCAGTTTCCAGCAAGAAAGTGTTAGCTTTTTTCAATTGACTCATGAGTTCCTGTCGGCAACTTGCTCACGTGCATGCCTTCCGTGGAGAATCGGTTCGGAATCAACTAAACTTACCTCGACATGAATGTGGCTTGTCGATGACAGCCTTTGGCGCGGTTCATTGAGCAGGTTCTTGCTCAAAACACCGTTTAAAAAAAGGCACGTTTTGTATACGGAGGAAGTAACTGCTATCAATCCACGACGGCCAGTACAAAGTAATAATACACCTTCTGTGTGCTTCCAATAGTTTACATTGGTATAAGGTGCTTTATTGGCGAGAGGCGAGCCGCTGGTTACCTGCGACAAGAATTTGATTTTTCTAAAGACATAAAACTCCAGTCGCAGTGCGACTAGTATCATGCATTACAGTTATTGTTTCTGTACTTCTCTACGTCTAAAGATAAGAAACTAGATGTGACGAGGAACCTACTGATACTGCCTTCATGGCTAAAAGCGTAGTTGCACTTCTCCTAAACATCAAAAATTGGAGCGTGGTTCACCATGATAAGACCTCTAATCACTAACATTTTGTGAACACACCCGCGCACACACACTAAAAAAACTCACGAAATAAAAAAAAACCGAAAATATATTTGACGAAGAAGGAACGCATTCAAAAAAAGAAAGAGAGAAAGGTAGCTGACCTGCATGGCTTGAACGAGACGAGGTTGACATAGACGAAATGAGGTTGATAGAGACGAGACGAGGTTGGCATAGGAGAGACGAGGTTGACATGGACGAGACGAGGTTGAAGATGAGACGAGGTAACATGGACAAGACGAGGTTGAAGATGAGACGAGGTTGGGGACGAGACGAGATTGACGTGACGGGTTCTGGAGCAGGGTCGTGGGTCCGAGCGAAAAGCCGGGCGCCAATGTTGAACGCCATTGTTGGACATTCTGACACAACGCAAGGCAACAAGTACATTATGACTAGAGAGAGCTCGACTCAAGAGAGCGATTATTTGAAGAAAGTTGAGAGAGTCAGAGATTTGAAGAGAGGCAACGCAATATATAGGGCCTGGGTACTTATGGCAAACATGGGTGCGCAAGTAGCTACCCAGGCCAACGGAACGAAAGGTGAGAATGACGTAGTCCGGTGCATGCAGGCCAGCTAGTCGAAAAGGGTATACTGCACGGGCGGAGGTACCTAACAGTATGTATGTCTGATAGTTGTGAGATAAAGAATCACTGGTGAGTGTAGACCTTAGTCTAAAAAGAATAATAGACTTGAGTGATTTTTGACTACGTATTCAACGTGCTCCGTCCAATGGAGGTGATGCTGAAAGGTGTTTGTGTTTTTGTGTAAGCGGACTATTCCTGAGGGTGATCTGGGGTAGCTGTTCAGGGGACGGTTATTTTGGTAGAACTGGAGGATGACTGTCTTTTTCGTGTT